TGGCTTGTGGTATTGAGATCCTAATGAACAATCTTTATTTACCTGGCTTGTGGTATTGAGATCCTAATGAACAATCTTTATTTACCTGGCTTGTGGTATTGAGATCCTAATGAACAATCTTTATTTACCTGGCTTATGGTATTAAGATCCTAATGAGCAATTTTTACCTGACTTGTGGACAGTTTCCATGGTTCACTAAGAACATCCTTTAGAAAAGGAGAGTCCACTTCTAAGTACTTGGAGACAACGTACAAACAAAACAGATGACGATCAATTCCCTTCCCACACATAGTGTGTTGATATCCCCGCTGGTGACGAGTACAGGCTTTTTTCAATAAGGAGCGTTTCTCTTCTGTCTAAATTCACATAAATTAATACATTTTTTTTTTTTTTTTATTCAACACTTATTTGCTCTTTGCTTACAATAACATGTACAACAAAGTTCTTTCAAATAACCAAGTTAAACATCAAAATGATCCTGGCTTAGTGTCAGGACAATCGTTAAGTATCAAAATTGATTACAATAAGATGCATAGTGAAGTAGAAATGGAAGATTCACATATGGATTTGTTTCAAATCCCCATCAAAACATTATTGCAATCCGTTTCCTTATTCATCCTCATTTAAATAACATAAACAACTCAATCAGCGAGAGCCCAAATGAACTATTTACAATCTTACATATTTCTTAATCTTCAAATAAACAACTGGATTTGAACATCAAACAAATATATTTCAAGGTTGGAGAAAGATAAAGTAGTCCAGTCATCAGTTTAAACACAAATAGGAGAAAAATAAAGTAGTCCAGTCATTAGCGCTTGTATATTTAATTCACGGTGTATATCCAACTAATCAACTGTGTAATGCTGCCAGGGTAGACTAATGGCTGGAGGAATATGTGACAGCCTCTTTTCAGGAAGGATATTTGTATATCAAGATTGTTAAATGATGTAGAGCCATTATGACTTTCGTCTGCTTAAAACACAATCTTGGAAGCTTACACGTCCATGAACGGTAGAGGGTCTACGCAAAGTGTGCGAAGATTGACCTTCTATCTTGTACAGAAGCTTGGTACTATGGAAATTCCTGTATTGAACTAATGTTATATAATTGTGAATAACAGATTACATTAGTGTGAATAAGCTTCAGTAGCTTTTCAATGAATACGGAAAAGCTGAGATTAGGGATCCGTTAGGCTGTCTGAACATCAAAAATGTTTGATGATGCATAAACAAACTAGTCTTAGAAGTATCAAAGTACCCACAAATCCATCCCAATATTTTAAAGGGCAAAAAGAATTTCTTTTGGTAGGAATTAATGCTCAATTAATAAATAATTAAAAAAATGTAAGAATTTCTCAAGTAGAATTGGGTGTAGTGAAAGTAAAATAGAACAGTTTTTAAAAGAAATCAGAAACGAAGATAGTTATTTTTTTTTATATAAGCCCCCCATTCTGATTGTACTATTATTAATTATATTCAGGATGCCAGAAAATTTAGTTTAACTTATGAAGCCTCCATGACACGATTATTTAGAGAAGGACGAACAGAAACTGTCAGACCTGTTACCATGGAGTCATGTGCTTGGGTAAAGGCAATGGAAAATCCAAACTGCTCGGTAAGTTCTACTTTAAACTGTTAGGTTATGTGCACATACCTAGGTGTGAAAGTGGTGTGGGTTTAGTAATTCTAATCATGCTACTGCTATTAAATGGTTAAGTTGGTTATTTAAGCAATGGTAGGGTCACTAAAGGAAGCTTCGTGATGTATTCAACAACTGGAGAATTTTGTTCATTAAATGTCAGTTAATTCTGGAAAAATACATGACGGAAAGTCAACACGGGGATAATTCCATAGCTGTTTAACTGGTGAATTTTGTTCATTAAATGTCAGTTAATTCTGGAAAAATACATGACGGAAAGTCAACACGGGGATAATTCCATAGCTGTTTAACTGGTGAAAAATAAAGTAGTCCAGTTATTAGTTAAACACTTTCTCCTACCTGTGTTTAACTAATGACTGAACTACTTTATCTTTCTTTAACCTGTGTTTAAACTAATGACTGGACTACTTTATTTTCCTTCTGAAACTAACAGATCAAGAACAAACTTTGTTTTTATCTACACATGGTTAACGATACAAATATTTAATAACACAAATTAATAACAAATATATAAACACAATTCTTGCTAATACAAAGACTTTGTTTTTATCTACACATGGTTAATGATACAAATGTTTAATAACAATTCTTTTAATATAAACACAATTCTTGCTAATACAAAGACTTTGTTTTTATCTACACACGGTTAACGATACAAATATTTAATAACAATTCTTTTAATATAAACACAATTCTTGCTAATACAAAGACTTTGTTTTTATCTACACACGGTTAACGATACAAATATTTAATAACAATTCTTTTAATATAAACACAATTCTTGCTAATACAAAGACTTTGTTTTTATCTACACACGGTTAACGATACAAATATTTAATAACAATTCTTTTAATATAAACACAATTCTTGCTAATACAAAGACTTTGTTTTTATCTACACA